TATATATAATGTATATTAAATAATTCAAGATTGAATTATTTAAAGCAATAAAGATCCAGCTTCAATCGTAATAGACATTTTAAATGTTTAGTATTAAAAAGAATGTCTTCTTACATAATAGAACTAAAAATAATCCTGGTAAGACACGAAAGTTAACATCCTTCTTAAAATTATCGAGTTTTCCCGTTCGATTAATAAATTTTCTATTTAAAAATTAGCTAAAAAGTTACGTTTCATTATGCTCGTCGGATTCATCTACGCGGTTCGTGATGGTTTTCATCTCCGAGGAAAAAAGTCGAGAAAGAACGAGAAAAAGACTCACGGACATCGATTTCAAGGAGCAAAGCAAGCTTCAGGAAACTTCGAACCGAGATATTCTCCTCGACTTTATTCAAATCCATCGATGGACCCGACGAGAAGTTTTTATCACCGCTCTTTCACCATTCCTATCAAACTCTCTCAGCGAGAAGCACCACTCGAACTGTCGCTTGTTTGTCAGCAGTTTAGAAATACACGTTTTTGTCAACGGTATTTCGTGAAATCTCCGTAAAAAGAATCGAAAAAATTTGAAAAATTAGATAAGAACAGCCAAGTGGTATGACTTCAAGATAAAAATACTTTTCGCAATGTAACGTGCACTTCATCTCTTTATTTTTCTTTGCCCTCTTAATTCTAGCCTTTTATTTTCTGACACATTTTTGGTCGCGCATTCATCTCGAACCTTCGGTTCTGAGAACCGTTACGGTACCATGCTCTGTTGTATCTGTTATGCATAATATATAGCATGTCACATGCTTATTCCCATCGTGAATTAAGAGTCTACTTACTCTGGAGCAGGATTTCTCCAGCGTTGCGTTCCAGCCCGCGCCATCAGGCATCAACCGCCCGTGCTAAAAATAGGAGATGCAACGTTATTTCTTCTGTAATAATCTTAATACGGAAGTATGTAATATATTAAGATATGGAAATAATTAAATATATAACTGAATCTTAAATCTTTTGGATTATATTCATAGTTGATTATTTCAAGACCATCTTAAGTATTAGGTGTACAACTTTGCTTCCGCCGTTTTTTTTCCAAAATTCGAGGCTTTATTGTAAAAAACTGGTTATACATTTATGATTCAAAGTATTGTCCATCGCTGGTCACTACTTTCTCCCATCTTTCGGGTAGCGTACGAATCCCGCGTCGAAAAAACTGGTCATCTTTTGAGGCTATCCACGAATCGATCCAATTTTTTACTTCTTCATAAGACCGGAAGTGCTGGTCAGCCAGGTCGTGTGCCATTGATCGAAACAAGTGATAGTCAGAGGGAGCAACGTCTGAAGAATACGGCGGATGGGGTAGGACTTCCCATTTCAACGTTTCCAAGTATGTCTTGACTACT